CCATTTCTTTTTACACCAGTGTTCAGACACTATATTAAATGGTATTGGAGGAGGAAGAATTAATGGATGAAACCTTGCAATGAATGTTCTCATTAATGCTACTTCCTTGTAGAGTCAATACCAGAAATACAGCATGCACAGAGTTTACTTGAGCTTGCCAATTTTCTGATGATACAAGAGCAAGGGAGAGGTTGGTAAGGGGGTATTTTGTTGGCCAAGCAATCAATAAGCAATTTATTCATGGTTTTTTAAGAAAACAGGAATATCTCCATGGAACTAAAACACAGTAATGAAGCAGAACATGTGAAAACTAGTAAGGGCTAACTATTCTGGATGAGTAGAACCAATACTTAACAAAGATATAGTACCTTCTGAAACTACTTCAGATAATCATTAGGACAATCCTGTGAGAAGGGGAAATGTTATTCCAATTAATATACTGTGTTTTTTTATAGTGAGTAGTCTAGGAACATGGCTAAGGCTGCATAATGAATTTGTGTTTGAGCTGATATGAACTAGATACGGCCAGCTTGCCTATGAGGTGGGCTGAGGCAGCTATTTTGGGCAGCGGAAGTCTAAGAGCCAGTGCCCCTGCAGGCACCCTGCCCACCTCTGCTGGTAGCAGAGAAGTGGCGCTTCCAGTGAGATCTCACCAAAATCTCATGAAATTTTGTGTGTGAGATCTTGCAAAAGCTCGTTGAAACCCACCACTGCATGACCCAAGTAAGGGAGGCTTTGGTAGGGGCAGTGGGGCAGAATGGCACCTTTCTGTTTCTTCTCATAGCTCATGTTCTTAACCAGTGTGGTGTATCATAGTAAGGCTAATATATCCTAAAATGTTTATACTGGTTTACCAGTATAGTGGCTGGGGAACGGGGAGGAGTGGCTACTGTTTACCTGTCCAGCCTTTGGGTCTTTCCTTACTCTTGCTTGCGGAAAGCAGATACGCAAGTGAAGCACTGTCTTACATTTACAAGAGTTTTCTGGGCATCTCTTTATGGCGGGGAACCATTTCAGCCCAAGAGCTACATTCCTTTCTGAGGAATCATATGCCAGTGCTGGATGAGGCCAGAGGCAAAAGTTGGCAGAGCAACTAATGTTTCACTTTTGTACAGCAGGCTACTTTCTACACACAGAGAGACACAAACACACCGTTCTCTATCCGCCATCCAGGCAACAGTTCAAGGACACATTTCAGCCGTACAAGAATACTCAAAGTGGGTGTTAAGCAGGCCAAGGAGGGGCTGGGAAGAGGGGCGTGGGTGGGGATGGGTGGTGTGGAAAGAGTCCTAAGGGCCAGATAGAGAAGTTGGGAGCGCTGCATTTCGCCCCCAGATCTGAAGTTCTCCACCCCAGCCTGATGGAAAGAAGTGAGGTTAGACATTTAAGAACCATTCTTCGTTAAAGTTCTTTTATGACAAAATGTATCTATAGACACATGATATCGTCAACCATAGGCTCCCTAAATTACTCAATTTCTCAACTATTACTTAATCACTTCACAATGTTCTTAATTCCACTTTGCTAATTAATTATGTGACAGATTATTCAACACTTGCATAATATTTCCCAGTTCTGTACTATTTTTTTTAAAAAAATTATAACAATTTCAGCTTGTACTTTGATAAGACTTTGTGTCCCTGTCTAATACATGAGTCAACTTCTGAAAACTTTTCTCACAGGTTAACTCTTTGAACTGTGATTTCTAAAAATGAGATGCCTCATGAAAATACATATTGGTGGAGTGTACAAAATGTATATTATCTACAGCCAATGGGATTTGATATAAAGTTGAATGGAGGGGGAAGTCTCCAAGAGACAGATGTGGAAAGCAAGAAAGCAAGAAGAAAGGAATAAAATAGTTTATTTTCACAGTATTGGAGAATGTGTGGATGGATGAGGGATGGGACCTTGGAGCTTGCTACTGTTACTCCAAGGGGCCCAAGTCCATAATTCAGATCGATTTCTTCTGCCTTCTTAGGTTGATAACTTTCCTTTGTTTGAGTTAGCTGATACTCAATTGCAGGAGCACAACCATCCAGATTGCTCCACACTGAAACACTGGGGGAAGTGGCATGTCAAAGCAAGTGTATTCCATATCTTCCATGGGCCATGTCTGGTTGAGGAGTCAAATAAGACACCAATTCATGCCTTGACAATGTCTTTGGCTTTCCTGGGCATTCCATCTCCCACGTCTGGATTTGGGCCCGAAAGACCAATGGAAAGTGTGAGTGCACGTGTAGACACAAAGTCAGAAAAGCTAAAGCACAGAATGAACTCAGGCTTACTAGAGAGGTTAAAAGCAACAAAAAAGGCTTTTATAGGTATGTTCGTAGCAAAAGGAAGAACAAAGAAACAGTGGGGTCACTCAGAGGAGAAATGCAAACAGGGGACACAGAAAGGGCTGAACTCCTCAATGCCTTCTTTGCCTCAGTCTTCTCCGATAAAGAAAACAATGCCCGAACTGAAGAATTTGGAGCAAATGATTCAGCAGAGGAAACACAGCCCAGAATAACTAAGGAGATAGTACAAGAATACTTGGCTAGTTTAGATGTATTCAAGTCTCCAGGGCCAGATGAACTGCATCCAAGAGTATTAAAAGAACTGGCAGATGTGATCTCAGAACCACTGGCAGTCATCTTTGAGAATTCCTGGAGAACAGGCGAAGTCCTGGCAGACTGGAGGAGGGCAAATGTTGTCCCTATTTTCAAAAAGGGGAAAGAGAGGACCCAAATAATTACCGCCCAGTCAGTCTGACATCAATACCAGGGAAGATTCTGGAGCAGATCATTAAGCAAACAGTCTGTGAGCACCTAGAAAGGAATGCTGTGATCACCAATAGTCAGCATGGATTTCTGAAAAATAAGTCATGTCAGACTAACCTGATCTTGTTGTTTGACAGAATTACAAGCCTGGTAGATGAAGGGAACGCAGTGGATGTAGCCTACCTTGATTTCAGCAAGGCATTTGACAAGGTGCCCCATGATATTCTTGTAAAGAAGCTGGTAAAATGCGGTCTTGACTATGCTACCACTCAGTGGATTTGTAACTGGCTGACTGACCGAACCCAAAGGGTGCTCATCAATGGTTCCTCTTCATCCTGGAGAAGAGTGACTAGTGGGGTGCCACAGGGTTCTGTCTTGGGCCCGGTCTTATTCAACATCTTTATCAACGACTTGGATGATGGACTCAAGGGCATCCTGATCAAATTTGCAGATGACACCAAACTGGGAGGGGTGGCTAACACCCCAGAGGACAGGATCACACTTCAAAACGACCTTGACAGATTAGAGAACTGGGCCAAAACAAACAAGATGAATTTTAACAGGGAGAAATGTAAAGTATTGCACTTGGGCAAAAAAATGAGAGGCACAAATACAAGATGGGTGACACCTGGCTTGAGAGCAGTACATGTGAAAAGGATCTAGGAGTCTTGGTTGACCACAAATTTGACATGAGCCAACAGTGTGACGCGGCAGCTAAACAGCCAATGCAATTCTGGGCCTCATCAATAGGAGTATAGCATCTAGATCAAGGGAAGTAATAGTGCCACTGTATTCTGCTCTGGTCAGACCTCACCTGGAGTACTGTGTCCAGTTCTGGGCACCACAGTTCAAGAAGGACACTGACAAACTGGAACGTGTCCAGAGGAGAGCAACCAAAATGGTCAAAGGCCTGGAAACGATGCCTTATGAGGAACAGCTAAGGGAGCTGGGCATGTTTAGCCTGGAGAAGAGGAGGTTAAGGGGTGATATGATAGCCATGTTCAAATATATAAAAGGATGTCACATAGAGGAGGGAGAAAGGTTGTTTTCTGCTGCTCCAGAGAAGCGGACACGGAGCAATGGATCCAAACTACAAGAAAGAAGATTCCACCTAAACATTAGGAAGAACTTCCTGACAGTAAGAGCTGTTCGACAGTGGAATTTGCTGCCACGGAGTGTGGTGGAGTCTCCTTCTTTGGAGGTCTTTAAGCAGAGGCTTGACAACCATATGTCAGGAGTGCTCTGATGGTGTTTCCTGCTTGGCAGGGGGTTGGACTTGATGGCCCTTGTGGTCTCTTCCAACTCTATGATTCTATGATTCTATGGTGTAAGCATGCAAGCATACTTTGTGACATTGCACAACATCATTGGTGATCATGAGGCAAATCTGTTAAAGCACCAGGCTTAGCTTCCCATTTTCTGTGGTGTTTTGTGGTGTCTGCAGTATGAAATCTTGGAAACAGGCCTGCACAGGTTCTAACATGTAAAACTATACATGACTCACCAGCCATGTGTGATGATGACAGGCGTGGAGAGTCCTCCCCTCCCTTCGGTAACTTCACACATAAGAATTAATGAGCAGTTGATAGATTTATAGTCCTTTTATTACAGCGTCATGTTGCGAGCACAAATACACAGCTCTCTGCAAGGAGGGCAGTTGGCTAGTCTAATCACCATTCCATTCATTTCTCCCTCCCTCTGAGTCCTTTGCTCTCTGATACGTTTGGATCTCCAAGTCTGAGAGGAGGAGGGGTCCCCCATGCTCTCAAGAGACGTCTCAACTAGCTGCCCCTCCCTTCTGGTTCTGTCATCATTATCTCGTAACTGGGTAACTCCCCCCATAGCTGTTCAGCTTCTGCCTCTCTCTCTGCTTCTGAACACGCTGTGGACAAGGGCGGCGATTCTTCCCCTTCCAGCTCTCCATCGGAGAGAAGGTGGTCTGCCATAGAATGCATTCTCCAGTCCTCGTCTTCAGACCATTCCCTGACAGATGAACTACTATGTATTTAGGAATAAAAACCAGGAGTTTAATCAAGCTCCTGGTGGGCGACCCTAAAATAGGTAGTCCCCTGTTTGGGAGGGCAGGCGGGATGTCACAAGATCTACCACCAAGCATAGGAAAGCAGGAAGCTGCCTTACACTGGGTCAGATCATTGGTCCATCTTTATCACCACTGTCTCCCCTGACTGGCCGGAGCTCTCAAGGTTTTAAACTGGGGACATTGCTAACCCTACCTGGAGATGCTGGGGATTGAACTCAGGACCTGCATGGAAAGCAGATGTTCTACCACTAAGCTAAGTTCTACAAGCTTGTAAAGAACTATATTCTTTGAAATGGACAAGCTATCGTTTATTGTCAAACTGTACAGCGATTCTGAAGTTTTTACTTACTAACTCTCATGTTATGAATAATTATTACTCCAGGCACGCCTGGAAGAAGCGGACCATTTGGATTCCTTCCAGTCGGGATTCAGGCCTCACCATGGGACTGAAACTGCCTTGGTCGCACTGGTTGATGATCTGCGGCGGGCTAGGGACAAAGGTGAGAGCTGTTTCCTAGTTCTGCTGGATCTCTCAGCGGCGTTTGATACCATCGACCATAACATCCTTCTGGACCGTCTTGAGGGGCTGGGAGCTGGGGGCACTGTCATACAGTGGTTCCGCTCCTTCCTCCTGGGCCGTGTTCAGAAAGTGGTGGTGGGGGATGAGTGTTCAGACCCCTGGGCTCTCACTTGTGGGGTGCCTCAGGGTTCTGTTCTCTCCCCCATGCTTTTCACCATTTACATGCAGCCACTGGGAGAGATCATCAGGAGGTTTGGGCTCGGTGTTCATCAGTATGCGGATGATACCCAGCTCTACCTCTCTTTTAAATCAGAACCAGTGAAGGCGGTGAAGGTCCTGTGTGAGTGTCTGGAGGCGGTTGGAGGATGGATGGCGGCTAACAGATTGAGGTTGAATCCTGACAAGACAGAAGTACTGTTTTGGGGGGACAGGAGGCGGGCAGGTGTGGAGGATTCCCTGGTCCTGAATGGCGTAACTGTGCCCCTGAAGGACCAGGTGCGCAGCCTGGGAGTCATTTTGGACTCACAGCTGTCCATGGAGGCACAGGTCAAATCTGTGTCCAGGGCAGCTGTTTACCAGCTCCATCTGGTACGTAGGCTGAGACCCTATCTGCCTGTGGACTGTCTCGCCAGAGTGGTGCATGCTCTGGTTATCTCCCGCTTGGACTACTGCAATGCACTCTACGTGGGGCTACCTTTGAAGGTGACTCGGAAACTACAACTAATCCAGAATGTGGCAGCTAGACTGGTGACTGGGGGCGGCCGCTGATACCATATAACACCGGTCTTGAAAGACCTACATTGGCTCCCAGTACGTTTCCGAGCACAATTCAAAGTGTTGGTGCTGACCTTTAAAGCCCTAAATGGCCTCGGTCCAGTATACCTGAAGGAGCGTCTCCACCCCCATCGTTCTGCCCGGACGCTGAGGTCCAGCGCCGAGGGCCTTCTGGCGGTTCCCTCATTGCGAGAAGCAAAGCTACAGGGAACCAGGCAGAGGGCCTTCTCGGTAGTGGCGCCCACCCTGTGGAACGCCCTTCCAGCAGATGTCAAAGCGATAAACAACTACCTGGCATTCAGAAGACATCTTAAGGCAGCCCGGTTCAGGGAAGTTTTTAACGTGTGATATTTTACTGTATTTTTGGTTTCTATGGAAGCCGCCCAGAGTGGCTGGGGAGGCCCAGCCAGATGGGCGGGGTATAAATAATAAATTATTATTATTATTATTATTATTAATCACACCAATGCATTCTTACATTGGTCATATTTTCAAATAGTTTTGATCCATGTTTGGGCACTTGTGTATATGTGTGTATGCACACACAAGTTGGTAGGTGAATGAATCAAAGCCAGTACCTCATGTTCAACATTTTCAGATGCCACAGTCCAATTCTGGTATCTGGTAAACAGATCCCATTGTCTTAGAAGAGCTTTCCTTGAGCTAATCGTTTCAGAGATAGTTAAAATATGTCAGTGTCATCATTTCTGGATGGGACAGTCACCTCAAGGAGATTTCCTCTCCCAGTGTGAAATAGCAGTAGTGATCTGGGTTTTGTGAAAGGTAAAACCACAAGCATCTCCTAGCAATTGTACCCACAGGTGATTGTTACACCTCAAAAATAATCAGAAAAGTTGGCTGTTCATTTTAGATTTAAAGGAGAAAGGTGTCTGTGCTATTTTGATCTGTTTTGTTTGTTTTGATCTTATTGCCAGAAGTGAGATAGTACTTAGGAGCTATCCCACACTCTTCAGATGTTGAGTATCAACACTTTATCAACAAGATGAGAAAGCTGGCAACACTGGTGGTGGTATATGTATGCGTGCACAAAGGATTAGCATATTTCTGACACCATTTCAGAGCTATTTTAAATTGTGCCACTCTTTTTGAAGTCTAATTAGCTTCTCTGTGCAGTGCAAAAGCAGTAAAGAAATTCTACTGTGAATGCCTTTAATAAGACCATCAAGACTTTGTGAAATGCTTCCTACAAGAGATTTCCGCACTGTTTCGCAGTAGCTTTTTTGGTATTCTTCTGAATCAGTTTTTTAAAAAAATGCATTTATTTGCACCTAACTAAGACTCTTAAAGTGTTTCTTCAAAAGTCAAAACACCACCATAAGAACACAACACTTCATTAGTTTTAAAACTGAACTTAATACATTTATGAGAACTGTTGTATATGGGGCTTTTTGACATCTGAGTAGGGAATAGGAAAGATTTTATTCTCTTAGATTAACTTGAATGTCTTCTTTCCTCAGAGAAAGTAGGTATATGTTAAAAGAATTCAGATTACTTTCTGAAGCATTATACCAAACGTATCATTGGTATTTATTAAGACCAAGTAAACTTGTTTGTAGATTGTCAAACAGCACACACAAAACCTGCCAGTATGGGTGAGCTCTTCTTTCCCATGGTTTGTGCATGTCAGAGGTTCTCAATCTTTTCCAGTCCATGGCTCCCTTGGCCAACTACGTTTTTTCTGTGGCTCTCCTGTGGGTAAAAACTAGACCATCATTCAAGGCACCTCAGTGAAAACCCCTGGCCTTTGCTATAAATTCTGCATAAGCTCAAAGAAAAGTCTTTAGGAACAACCTGAAAAAACCCCCAACCAACCAGTAAAACCAGGGAAGAGACAAATCTATTAGATTTACTACTACTATTAATACTAATATTATTTAAATATTTTTTCAAAAAACCTATGGGTTGTACTCAACTTAAGGCCAACTCAACAGTAGACCCACTGAGATGAATAAACCTACGCTGGCCATGTCCATTGACTTCAGTAGGTCTACCCTGAAGAGCAGCAGCAGCACTGGATTGGAAGTTCAGTTCAAATGTATCCATTCAAAGAAACAGTCAATCCCCTCATCCTCTCTCTTTACCCCATTTCCTTCTCCCTGTGCTCTGCATATGCTCAGAGGCTGCCATGACCTTCTGCTCTGCTCTGCAATTATGCAGAATTCAGCTGGTCATTTCTAAAAATAACATGTGATGTATCAGGGAAAGTTCTTGGCCCAAGAGTCTCTCTTTTCACAGTAGTCCCCCATACACAGAGATCACCAGGAGAGGCCTTATTCTCAATAGTGCCGCCACTGCATTTAGGCTGGTCTTAACTGTGAAGAAGGTTCAGATCCAGGGGAGCCCTTCTCTACATGGAAGAGTTGTTCCATTCACAGAAAGGTCTTTGGTCCAGTTGAAGCCCTTGCTAATGGAAGGACAAAGGCCTCTGCAGTCCTCCTTCTTCCCCTTCCTTCCTTCCTTCCTTCCTTCCTTCTTTCCTTTTCCTCTTTTCCTCGTCCCCCTCCCCCAATGGAATTACTTACCCAGGAAGGCCTACCAGATTCAATTTGTCAAGATTTTTGGAATGCTAGTGGACCTTTATTTATTTTTGAAAAGCCATTGGATGCCATTTTGGTCCCAGTTTTCAAGTTGTAATTCTATGTTGACATTTTATTGCATGTTACAAATGTATTGCCAATTTCAGTGTAGTTTTTGATGCTACAGGATGCTGCTGGTAATAACTAGTGGTAAAAATAGCAATAAATATAACATGTGTGCACATTTGATGCCAATGACACATGCAATTTGTATTTTATACACAAGGCATAGAATATGACAATAATGCCTTTCAGGCTTAGCATTTTTCCTAGCCTCTCTCTGGGTTGTGCTCCCTTTCATCCTATCCAGATCTACTCTAAGGAGACAAAAATGAAATCAGGCTGAAAATGAGATTTCATTCAGTGGAGATGACTAAAATCGATTCCATTGGGCAGTGGGGGCGGGGAGTATACCCCATGAAATTAAAAGTGGAATTTCAAAAGCCTACGAAAGATTGTGTCAATTTACCGGGCAAGCAGGGGCCATTCAAATGTGATGCGTACCCGCCTTGGCTCCCGTGACTTCAGCCGACATCTTGATTGATACACAAAGGCAGAGTGGTGTTTACAGGCATTACTTCAATGTTGCTAGTAGCAACTTCTGCTTTGCACCTTTCCTTTCTTTGTCTTTAAGGGCATATTTTTTGAAATAATTAACTCATTGATTTGCAGGAGGACCTCATTGGCAATACAATATATTCTACTGGCAGATGGATAGACTTAGCTGGTTTTCTTTTTGTTTCTGTTTTTAAATACTCCCCCCCCCCCTTCATTCTGCCAATACACACATTGAGCACTTAAATTTGTAAAGACATTTTACATTTGGCCTTGCAGGGGGATGACTTCATAAGCAATACTGCTTGGAACAGCTAATAAATATCAGCATTAACCACTTTTCAAATCCATTTGCCATTCTCTATGCAGCTTTTATACCGCTGCCCATTGTTATTTGATTCACACACACACACCCCGCCGCCCAATCTCCATTCTGCAAAATACTAGGGTTGGAGTCATTGAGTTGAAAGGGATCTCAGAGGTCATTTAGTCCAACTGCCTCCTGCTGTTGCTGATTATAATTAATTAATGTATATACTACTAAATGTCAAAATAGGCTTCTAAGCAGTTTGCATATATAAAAACCACTTACACAAGCATTAAAATATAAACATCCAGTTATAAAATGCAATAAAAACAATCCCATTAAAAGAACACAATAATTAAAGCAGGAGATTCAGGGTGAGAGATTAGGGAATGCCACCTTCAAAAGCCAATAGGATGCCAGTACAGATAAAGTTTGCTTCTCTTTCAGCAGGGAGTGCATTCCATAACGTCCGTTCCACCAGTGAAAAGGCGAGCCTCTATGTCACCAC